ACTCTGAAAGAGAAAAATGGCCACCTGAGGATTAGAGACTGAATATAACTGCTCTAAATTGTCAAGGCTGCAACATTTCACATTTCACTAAGTCCCTTTCCACATTCTGACCTTTCTGATATTTAACTCCAAGGCCCATCTATTGTCAGCGAACCTTTTTCCAGCAAAAGAAAGGCAGTTAACATTCAGCCTTTCCACGATGTATTGAGTGAATTGTGGATTCAGTCAAGAAGTCTCTTGAGTCTGAGAGCACTCTGTATCTGTATGTATGTGAGTGACTGTGTGTGTGGGCACATGTTTGTGCATACTCTACAGCTAACTACTACTGTAGACAATCTTTTGTTAGCAATTTCATCCTGTTGAAATGTTACATTTTAACACCCTTTATGTAACAAGCAAGCCAATCAAATGCAGTTTCTTTGAACCTGATTTGATAAATGTGACAGGTTTCTATTTTGCCTGTCAAGGAACATGAATAATAGCTGTTATTCTAGATGCTGCCTGTTTTGAAGTGATGCAAATGTAGGCTCCTGGAGGCTGGCTATGCAAAGAAACTCATTAATTCATTGTAGCTTTATTTTTAACGTAGCACTCGTTCGCTGCGGTGCCACTTAACAAGATTCAAGGTCAAATATAGGCTCCCTTGTTGAGTCACTGCAGATGTCGCATGTTTGCAGTTTCTGTTGTAGATCCGTCATTTGACACACACAGACTCACAGACAACACGATTCAAAGTGACAGAGCTTCCCTGTCAACACCTGCCATCCATTCTATGCCTGTCTGAAACACTATCACTCAATAACCTCACTGTTTTACCATGTCAGCTGCACTGTGAATGCTATAATAATTGTAATTGCTAATATGCCTTAAATAAGGATGATAAAGCAAGTTTCCTTTGGTGCTGGCTTTTATTCTGTTTAAACAATTTTGCATGTCCCCATGATGAAGCCTCCACAGCAGAGATATGACATCTGACAACTTAATAGCAGTCGCTTCCTACAGAGGGAATCTGCACCTGATGGACCTGCTATAAAATGTTTTCAGATTTTAAATGCTATGCCTGTCAAAGCATAAGAATAAGGTCATATCCAGATTGACATTAGCGCGGCATGAAAAAATTGAGTTCCCTCATTTACTGCTGTGCGATCAAATGCGCTTGATCCTCTGGCCTTGATAACCTTCCAGAATTGTTAAAACCTTCCTCAGACTATTGGAAATCGCTATGTAGTGTTTTGGCCTCTGAGGTTTCATACTCAACTGTCCTCAGAAAATCACCTCACTTACTGTATGTGAAACAACAAGCCCTCACTAATGCAGCCCTTTGTGTGGTTTTAACCAGTGTTGTCTTCAGTTTGAACACCTGGTAATTCAGATTGAACTTACAAGGTACAAAAGTAACTAAACTCACCACTTTGTGGTAGTGTGTCTCCTCTAACCAGTCAAATTCACTGGAATGTGACAGGCATGAGGTCGCTGACCTTGACCTTTGACCTTCAGTCACCAAATTCTAATCAGTTCATCCTTGAGTCCAAGTGGGCACTGGTGCTGAATTTGAAGTAAATCCAACAAGGTGGGTCTGACATATTGCGTTCACAAGAATGGACAACCAGAAAGCATAATACCTCCAGCCACGGCTATCACTGGCTGTCGTTTAGCCAAGAAGGCATCTTTTTCTTTCGGCAGCATTCGATACTGTTGATCATGCGATTTTACTTGCTAAACTTGAACATCTTGGTGGCCTAAGGGGCACGGTGTTAAATTGGTTTACTTCCTTTTTGAATAACAGAACTTTTTAAGTTATTATTGATGATTTTTCATCTGATGTAGCCCCACTTACCTCAGGCGTCCCTATTACTATTCTCTTTATATATGGCACCACTTGCTTCAATTATATCAAGTCACAATGTTCATTTTCATTTTTACTCGGATGATATCCAGATCTATATGCCGTTGGTATTATCCGACACGAATGCAGTTACTCCTTTGCACAACTGAATTCGGGATATTAAGAAACGGTTTGCCCAAAATTTTCTGCACTTAAATGAGAATAAGGCGGAATATATTCTTATTAGCCCCGATCCAGCCGCAGTGCTATCCAGTTTAGGTGCCTCTGCCCCCCACTTACAGACATGGTGAGAAATCTTGGAGTAATATTTGATAACAGCTTTACTTTCCATAAGCAGATTAGGGTCGTGGTCAAGACCAGTTTTGTCCACCTCTGACTTTTAACAAAGGTGAAGCCCTTCTAATAATGTGGAGACTTAGAAAAAGCAGTCCAGCTTTTATTACTTCACGATTAGATTAAAACCCTTTATGTTGCTGTGTCCCAAGCTGTACTGCGTAAACTTCAACTCATACAAAACGCGGCTGCTCGGTTGTTGTCGAACACTCCCAGGTATGCCCACATTACTCCAGTTCTTTTTTCACTACATTGGTTGCCAGTAAAATGGAGAGTTGATTTTAAGATGTTGTTATTTGTCTTTAAGGCCATATATGGCCTTGCCCCACCGTACCACCATACCTATCGGAGCTGTTATCAATATACACCCCAGGCCGAACCCTGCGCTCCACTGAGCACTTGTCCTTGGTTGTTCCATGGGCCCGATCTAAAAAATGGGGCGACCGCTTGTTTGCTGTCTATGGTCCTAGACTCTGGAATTCATTACCGCCTGAGATCCAGTCTGTAACTGAGCTAGCGGTTTTTAAGTCTACTTTAAAAACACACCTTTTTAAACAGGCTTTTGGTGTTTAATCCGTTTTATCTGCCCTAAAGGGACATGGTTAATTTGTGCTTTTATATTATTTTATTTTGATGAAACTTTTATTGCTATGATTTTCTAACCTGTGTTAATAATTTAATGTTAATCACATTAGTCATTGATTTTGAAAGAGGGAGTGCCCTACCACACCTGTCAGTCGTATCACCATATACAATATCTAATACCAACTCAAAAATTCAAAACCCACTCCTGCTTCTACACAACCTTCCACAGCAGCTTACTTAGTGCTTGTTGTAGTTCATCATCAGTGCAATAGCATCTTGTTGCCAAACAATGATAAACATTATGCATTTAAGCATGTGGTTGTAATAGTCTTATGAATATGTTTGGATATCTAAAGCTCAGCCCGCAGAGGCTGCATTATTCATCATCCCCCACTATACAAAACTGATGGACAGAAGGAACAAGGTTATTCAAAAGGCTTCTCCACTTTAGAGCTTGAATGTACTCAGTAAATGTCATGACACTCAGCCTATTACATTATGCATTATCAATTAACAATGGATGGGGTATTCAAACACTATGGTAAATTCGCTCAAATAAAAGCTGCTTTTGTCAAAGAGGGTTATATCGTTTCTCACTCTTGTGTTTATACTGGATGCATCTTATAGTGTCTTTATCTGACTCCACCTGACTGACTGGCTTGGCCACATGAATGACAGACCTTCTTTTAACAAGACCCTGTGTAACCTCTGAACAAATGTTAGATGTAGAAGAATGCTTTGTGTGACTCTTGTTTCTGGTCACTTGGCTCATCCTCTAGAGGCCATGATTATCCACAGCATATTTAACCATACTCAGACTTTTAATGTCTCAAAGAAAAAGTTGATAATCTGCTCCAAAGGGTGGCAAGAGAGAAAAGATTTTGTAAGTGGACAGAGACCTGGGTTTCCCACAGGAAATGGTTTAGCCATAGAAGGAATTCACCCAGATCCTGACGCTTCTTGGTCTCATGATTAGTAGAGAATGGCCTGAACAACATCCACATTCTTGAAATAGAAGGCATTTGCTATGTGAAATATTAACTCCACTATTTTTTTTTACTAGAAGGCTAAAGTTTTATTTAATAACTGTATATTAATTTATTACTTCAGCGCTGGATGTGGTTCTATCAGACAAGGATCAGGCCTACCTTTACTGTAATACAATGCTAGACACCTCAGTTTCTCAGAATCATGAATGGTTCAGTAAATTCCATGCCAGTCAGCTTGTTAGATTTTAATATGAATTTGGATTCATGCTGGCATAGTGATTACACTAAAGGAAATATTCAAGGTCACGAAAAACATTATAGTTTAATGTATCAACCAGTGCTCAAGAGGAAAATCTGAAGTGAGCGTCTTTAAATATAGCATATCTCTTATCTGAGACGACTGCAGGCTGTTCAATATGTGGACTGATGGTTAGATCAAGTGACTGATCAACATGCACGTTGAACTCTAACAAGCTTAGAACTCCACTGTGTATGTGGCAGGTCAAGGGAGGTTTGTATTCTGTGTTTGTACACAGTGTGCAGCTAGGTTTTCATATTAGCACAAAGGCAAGAGCACATTATCTACCATTTAGGGCAAATAAACAAGCTGAAGTAACTGCACACATCATACATGATGCATGTATGCACCTCTAGGGAGGTTACAGTCCTGCACATGCTGTTTGTACTTTGAACCTGTTCAAAGAACCTGTTTGAACCAGTTTGAACCACATTTTTTGTTAATATTATTTTATTTTGCTTTTTATTCTGTTTTTTTACTGAATGCCCAGGTTAGAAATTGAGGTACATATTCCACAGAGAACTTAAAGTCATTAGAGTTTTGTTTAAAAACAGAAATCCTGCTCAGAAAGCCATTTTCTCAATGCGTCTTAGCTGTTCACTTTGAACAGTCCTTTAATAATGTTTGTTGGCACATATGAGGTGGAATTCTAAAGGGTTTTAATATTTTTTAAATGCCAGTGGTGTATGACTCTGCTCCAAATATCCTATGATAATGACTTGGTTTTGTTTAAGTTACCTGTTACGTTGTGCTCTCTGTTTAAATGTGATTTGTTTTTTTTACTGAGAATTGTGTAATTGTGTATATAAGCTTTTAACATTGTTATTATTTACCTGTGTTTTCAAATCCTGTTTTTATTGAATTGCCTCTTTTCCCATTTCTCTGTTTGCAAATGTGCTATTTTGAATTTCCCTGTGCCTCTCTATGTCTCTCACTGCTTCAATAACAGGGGTCCATCCAAAAAAACAGGGTGAGGATTTATCGGATAACGACGGTGATGAAGATGAAGGTATTTTCTGTGGTGAACAAAGATGGTGCATGATTTTTTTTTTCTTTTCTAAAAATGTCAGTCTTCTGATCATGTATGGTTTATGTTTGATTTAATTTTGTTTCTACTTGCAAATGCAATCATCACAACACACCTGTTACATTACAGTCTGTAAAACAATGTTGTCTTTGAGCAAATGATTGAGTGTGAGTGAATGTGAGATCTCTGGTACCTGAAGCATCTAAAGTGATGATTAGAGGATTTGGTTCATCTAGAAAACCGAGCCTGGTTGAGTCATTTTAAAATCTCACACAGTGGAGCAAATGTTATTATATGGGTAGAAGCAGTGGTTAGAGCCGCTTCTTAAGGTGTGGTCAGCAGCTGTTTTGGTGATAATAATGGCAGAGAGAAATTGAAGCAGCAGTGTAATATCAGACTGTTCACCGGGTCTGCCAGCAGATTTACATGAGTAGCGACAGTTCAGGAGTACTGCTGGAGAGGAGAGGATTAGAGGCGAGAGGTGTAGAAAATGGGAAGTTGCTGCTCAACAATCGCATTGTTCACGTTCCATATTTATCTTGGGATATTCCTGGCTCAGGATGGATCTCTGTGGAGATTAGAATGAGAGACGTTTCTTGTGCTGCAACAGAAACGGCTTAAGTCTCAGAATCTAAATCAAACCCTTGATATTGCCCCACCCTTGTCTTCCTTCACCAAATTAGGGCAGATGATGCAAGCATGATGTTGGGTGTCAAGGTTAAGTTTATACTCCATTTATTATGGACAAATTAGATTTTTGTGTGATATGTGTGTGTTTGATGAACAATATTTAAGTGTATGTCTGGTACGAAGCTGTGTGGGACCTTAGCATGTTTAGGGCATATGGACTTTGTATTTGGCAAGAAAACTGAGATGCCACACTAAACTGCCACATCATTTATTTATCTGTCTTGATGTTAGCACAATGAAAGGCAGCTTTGTCAAAAGGGAGGTCAAATTATATTTGAATAGCCCAATATCACAAATTGAAAATTTGCTTCAAGGGGCTTTGCTGCAGGTTCTGCATTGGGTTTTAAATCCAGCTGAAGCCAACTGGCTGTGTTTTTTTTCCCCAGATGTTTAAGGTTTTGCAGGGTGCTTTTCCAGTTTTGCCAGTAGGTTCATCTCCCAAAAAGAGCCCTCACACTGGCCTTGATCACAGAGCAAGAAGCATTGCCATGGCACCACTTTGACACACAGGTGTTTTCTCATTCAAGCCCAGGGTGAGCTGTTGCAACTGAAGCCAAATTGCTCTCAGTCTTTGGCCTGACTGTGTGCATACATATGTGCATGGCTGTATTTGTCCTCCTTCAAGCAAGCTCACATGCTAAGTGTATGTAGTCCTCAGTCCGTTAAAAATTGCTGACAAGGGCCGATCCCTTTGTCTGGCAGGTCTTTGTGTGCGTAGACAGCAGCTTGGTCTCCAAGCTGTTGTGCAAGACCAGTCTCACTGAAAAAGTGACAAGTCTTTTATTTACTGAGCGCAACCAATGCTATTTGCAGAGCATCACCGTAAAAGCACAATACAGTCCCGGCAGAATCTCTGCTGCAGCACTATAACTAATGCATGTGTGACAGGGTTGGCCATCAATCCCTAAACATGATCCAGAAGATTTTCACTGTTCTGGTGAATGTGTCTATTTTGAACTGTCATTGCCCAGCATTTGAAACCAGGGCTCAGGGACATCCCCCTATCTCTCTGTAATTCCACCCAAAGAGAGAGCTGTTATTCCCAGGGCCAGTTGGGATGGGGGGGGGTGGACTTTCTCCAACTGAAGGATGGTTGAGTGCACTGTGAAAACCACAAAGTCCCTGTAAGTTGTTTTACTTACATACTGTTTCTTTCACAAGTGGCTGTGGTATTATGGCAGGTAATACAGTAGCAATTCCCTTGTCTACTGTACTGCATGCACTATGAAATAAAAATCAAGCATTAGGGTTAGTAGACAAGTAGAATTAGAATATAAGCAGAACTCTCACTTGCTCATTCTTTAGCTGATGCACCTCTAAACTACATATTCTTATTCAGTCCAGTAAGCGGCTGCCTTGACTGGTTTCCCTGTCTAACCCCCTCCGTCTCTCAGTCTGTTCATCCCAGCATTACCGTGCTGTCTCAGTTGGCAATCTGTCTGTCTTGGGCTAATTCCCTCCCTCCCTCTACCATTTTTGAGCTGCCCCCCTGACTGTTATAACCCCCCAGACACTCTCTTAATTTCTAATTCAAATGTGTTTTATTGAAACAATAAGGGATTTCTCACTTTACCACAGAAATGTAAACAGCATATGTAATGGAACATATAAATCCATATAAAAGGCCATGGAACAGCCAAGAAAAACTGAGATGAGCAAAAGAATAAAATAAAGAGAGGACTATAGTAACCTTTTTTATAGTGTGTATCTCCTTCTGCCCGCTGGCTGTGACTGAGGCTCTCCCTCTTAGCCCTGTGTCTTGCTGTCATTCTCTTTGTTTGTCCGCCTGTCTGTCTGAGCAACTGTCAAGCCCCTGGCACCACCAAAGTGCATTCAAATTCTACCCAACACTCCTTCCAGCAACACAAGTGTGCAGGCCAAGTTGCAATGATTTACACACACCCACAATCAAGACTCAATTTTACAGAGGCTGTTATTGCACTGTAAAAGGGAGCGCAAGCTTTCAATCACCTACCTGCTGTTGTTAGATAAAGGTGGGCATGTAAATAGAGGAAGTCAGGCTGTGGACAAGTTAAATCTCCCTGGTGGAACATGGCAGTGGTGCTGAGGTTCTGTGCCCAGCGTTAGGTGGAATGAGGCAGTCGTCCCCACCTCACCTCACCTGCTCCCTAGGCCTTCTCCCACTGATTAAAAATACATGTGTGTGTGTGTGTGTTTGTCATTTGGCATTTTGAAACTCTACCTCTAATCAGGACGAATGCTTCCACCCGGCATGTGTGTGCAAACACAGACATGTACACCCATATTATTAAATCAGTCAAGCATGCACACACACGCACACACATATATGCATAAACATTGCCTGCTTCCAAGCTCTGGAAGCAAGCACTGAAGAAGACAACACACATATACTGTATACACAAACACACAGACCCTCCCAGAGAATCTCTCCATCCTTGCTGTGCCAGAGAGCAGAGCTGAGCTCCACCTGCCTGGGTATTACCATTAATTCCATTGCACAGGCCTGACTGGATCCCCATCCAGCAAAGCCCTCAGCTCAGGCAGCCTGGAGAGTGGTGAATCGACAGTGGGGGCAATTCACCCACCATTCTCTTCATTTTGCCACTATCCTATTCCCTATTCTGTGGCAGGGACGAGGAATCACGCCCCTTGAAGCCCATTTATGCATATATTTGGAGTGCTGCTGCTTAGCTTCTTTCTAAGACAAGCATTGACATTAATGGCCGAACTCCAAGGGCATCATTTGAGCCATTTCAAAGGATGGGAGAACCCAACTGTTACTGTCATATCTTTTCTTTAATTTTGCATGGTACAAAATAATTTGCAAGGCAAAATGTAAAAGCATGCTGCTTTTGAAAAATCTAGAGAATGGAAGAGGAGTGGAGATAGGCTTTGAATTAGTTCATCATAGCACTTTGACGCTTTCCTTATGCAATGCCACATCATGGTTAAGGGTACCTAATGCTGTGTGCACCTCTATGTTGTGCTTATCAGTGTGCTGTAGACAACCTTTCACTTGGTTTGTACAGTATAGAGTGAGCTTTTGTGGCTTGCCCCAAGGACAGCAGAGGCTTCCCTGAAAGACGAAAGGGTTAGCCTTCTTTCACTTGGGTAGCAAACAGCTGTCTGTGCATCTTAGAGATGACAGCACCTCTGCAGCTTCCTCCTCTCATCTAGATCCAGGCCAGCTGTACGGGGCTTTGGCTAATAGCCCTGTAGGCTTCTGAACCGTGTCTTCCCTTTTATTTTACTCAGCCAGCGTCTATCCCCATCTCTTCTCTCTATTCCATCTTACATATACACACTTCTCTCTGCCTGCCTTGTACCCAACATCAAATCTACACACAAACACACCAAGCTAGGGAGCAAGAAGTCACCTTCACACACATG